TTTTTTTTTTTTGGCTTATAACCACTGTTACTCCTCACTTCATTAGCCAAGCGAGGATTCGCACAAGACAAGCGCTAATCGCGAGGCGCGGGGAGGAGAAAGATTCGCTTGAAATGCCTTGTTTGCCTCGCATGGTTCATAAAGCGCCTGTTATGCAGGCTAGTAATAAGCGACATGATGAGCGTAAAAGATACTGGTGTTTGTCTGTAGGTTTAGTATTAAAGAACAGTTTCAATGATACCATCATTGAGGAACACCTTGACGTCGAGAAAGGAGAAAGATTTGCATGCATGAGTGGTTAGATGTACATATAATAGTGGGATGAAGGGTATTTATGTAAGAGATGGGATGAAAATAGACGTTTATAGTGAGAATGAATTTTATGAGGTTGCAAAGAGTTTCTGTGTGCATGGTGGATGTAGAGTGGTCATGGGTATTAAGGAAGTGACAACAGGCACCAATACCATTATCCTTCTCTCACTCTACTGTGTTTAAATCTATACCTCTTGATGCCTTCCGACGTACTAAAAAGCCGAAAGGCCGCGATTCGAGGACTTCCTGTTTCGGACCTAGAATTCTCGATCAGTGTTGCTTAACACATCGACGACAATTTTCCATCGTCTGAACTCTTATTGACCACAGAAATGACGTCAAAATGTTCAAAACTCATTGGAACCACTCTCCTGCTGCTCGTGGTTTCATTTTAAAGTCGTGAACATTTTGACGTCATTTCTGTGGTCGATATGTGTACAGACCATGGAAAATTGTTGTCGATTTTTTTTTCTTACAATAACATTAACAGTTTTTGTCGTCCATTTCCGTTGACTTTTCGCGGAAAAATTGTTCATCTTATCTTATATGCTGACAATTTCCAGCACTATTGGTTTATCAGTGTGTCTACCCCTTTCTTTCGCAGAGAGCAAAGATGGACCTATCTGCGCTTGGAGCCCAAGCTCGACTACGAAACGACATCAACGCGTCCAAGACAATCGCTATAACTATAGCTGCATATTTTATGTCCTACGTTCCAGCGGTCACCTACGCTATACTGGGTCAACAGGATGTTAGCCAGACCGACTCTTGGTTCGCATTCATCGCATGGTACGCTACTTTCTTTTCAAGTGCAGTGAACCCGTTTATCTTCTATTACCGGACCAGACGGTTTCGTGCTGCAATCAAACAGTTCTTCAAGGATCCCTTTGGAAAAAGTGACTTTAAAGAGGAGCCAACCAAACCCCGTAAAAGCGGAAACATGATTGCCGTTAAAGAAGACAGTGGAGGAAAGAACCGAGGAAGTAATGAAACTTTGCTGAGAAGAAAATATCATGGAAAACGAAGAAATGGTTTCGCGATTACGTCGATTCCAGCACTAAAGTCACATCTCTACAGCCTTGAGCCCATTGAACAGAAGGTAAAAGCAAACGAAGTACCGAAGGAATTTGGCATTATTTCGGCTGCCCTGGTGCATCCCGTAAGTGCAGTCGAATTGTCTTCGGCCGTTGCTCAGTTTTCGTTTGGGGGAGTTGAAAAATCCGCGCAGAAACCATTTGACAAGAAGGATGAAGAAAAGAACTTAGGGAGTGAAATGGTGTGTCCGCAAAAAAAGTCAGATGCGACCAGTAAACGAACGATGATCTCATTTTCAAAATCACAAGTTCATCCGTTGAGCAAGTCTTAAGAGGATATTTTTCTTTTTCCACGAGCAAAATAACACCAAAATTTACCAGATTAAAAATAATAATAAAAGCACCTGTTGGATTAAGAGCAAACTCGAAATCATAGTTCATTCCACAATCAGCAAGCGCGACTAAAGCCAAGTGATATTAAACAGCAGTAGCGAAAAGGTTACAAAATTTATTGAATGTGCCATAAAAGAGTAAATAAGTCAAATAACTATCACACAAATATAAGTAAAAGTGACCTTAAAATTACAATGTAAAGTATTCATTAAGAAGAAAAGAAATCATCAATACATCGATATACCGTAAATCCTGTATTAAGCCCCCTCTCTCAAATAAGCTCCCTCTCTCTCAAATAATCCCCCNTTACGTCGATCCCAGCACTGAAGTCACATCTCTACAGCCTTGAGCCCATTGAACGGAAGGTAAAAGCAAACGAAGTACCGGAGGAATTTGGCATTATTTCGGCTGCCCTGGTGCATCCCGTAAGTGCAGTCGAATTGTCTTCGGCCGTTGCTCAGTTTTCGTTTGGGGGAGTTGAAAAATCCGCGCAGAAACCATTTGACAAGAAGGATGAAGAAAAGAACTTAGGGAGTGAAATGGTGTGTCCGCAAAAAAAGTCAGATGCGATCAGTAAACGAACGATGATCTCATTTTCAAAATCACAAGTTCATCCGTTGAGCAAGTCTTAAGAGGATACTTTTCTTTTTCCACGAGCAAAATAACACCAAAATTTACCAGATTAAACATAATAATAAAAGCACCTGTTGGGTTAAGAGCAAACTCGAAATCATAGTTCATTCCACAATCAGCAAGCGCGACTAAAGCCAATTAATATTAAACAGCAGTAGCAAAAAGGTTACAAAATTTATTGAATGTGCCATAAAAGAGTAAATAAGTCAAATAACTATCACACAAATATAAGTAAAAGTGACCTTAAAATTACAATGTAAAGTATTCATCAAGAGGAAAAGAAATCATCAATACATCGATAAACCGTAAATCCTGTATTAAGCCCCCACTCTCAAATAAGCCCCCTCTCTCTCAAATAATCCCCCACCCCCCACCTTCTCTCTAATAAGCCCCCCTTTTCAGGGGAAGAAAGTTAATAAACGCCCCCCTCCCCATTATCATTCTTCCCTGATAAATGATAGACTGTAAAACTGATCCGGGATGGTTTATTCACGTGTTGGAAATTCGGATTTGTTTTTGATCCTTTACTGAAAGACCTCCAACTTCTTGTACTTGAGTACATTGTAGTTCTTCATGGAGAATTAATACCACCATCTTCGCTGGACTGAATAAGCAACCTCACCCCAAAAGTGTTTGAAATAAATAAGACCTCCAGGGGGGGGCTAGATAAAGGATTTACGGTTTTCTTACTTCATTCTTTATAAATGTTCATCCGGTAAGCTTTTAAAGTTAATGGGGAAAACGTATGTGCGTGTGTGTGTGTGTTTTAATGGGCAAAACCTAAAATAGGCAAGAGTGAACTCACTGAAGCAGGAGATGAAATGGATGACATAAATAACGTTACAATGCTACATGTACATAAATAAAGGTGGTAACAACCATCTTGACCGATTTTGAGAAAAAAAGACTTTTCCAAGTCCTCTTCGGTCAGCAATTGTCAAAAAACCTAATTAGTGCAAATCTGTCATCAAATATTGTACTGTTTTCTGTAGTCTTCGAGAGAACGCTTGACTTTGAAGACTGCTTGTTCAACAAGTCGCATAAATTCACGCACGTCGAACGCGTAGTTCCTGAACTTCGGATGATCACTGTACTGCGGGTGAAGCTCCTGAAAAAGAGGGGAAAAGTGCAAAGTCACAAAAATATCCGTGACCGTCGCATCCGTTTTGCTTTAGTTCACCTACCTCGGTTTTCTCAAAGACCTTGTCCTGGTTTTCCCAAGTTACGTACGAAACTCCCCTAAAAATCCAGATAAGCAATGACGACAATGAGTAAAAAACATAACATCCCCTTCGGCAGTAAATAACAGGGGTAAGCGACGCACGTCAATCGGAAGTTAACCTTTTTCTCTTTTTACATGCCTTGACGCTACCAAATCTATAATGCTAAGTGTATTTGCTCTTATGGAGACGATTTGTCCAAAAATATTTTCAAAATCGCGGCTCAAGAGTGAAAACAAGTCCACTTCCAGTCGACGTGCGTCGCTCAAAAACGTCGCTACTTTAAAAACTCCCTAATAAACAGGCCAAACTACCCTGAAAGAAGGCTCTAGAGAAGGGAAAAATCAAACCCCTGAAGACATAAAAAGACTCCTGGAAAAAACCTTAATTCACAGGTACGTTAAAAGATCGTCGCTGGATTGTAGCCTAGGCACAAAGAGAATTTCAAAACAGCGGTTTCTTTTTTTGCATTTCATCATGAAACACTTTGGTTTTATACTCCGGGTAGGGCATTTGCATGATTAAAATACCGTGAGGCTGGCCAAATGAGGGACAGTAGTCCAAAGAAGACAAATAGGAATTCGGGCCACTTGGGATTGACCGAGCCATTACTTGCTACTAAATTTGTCAGAAACTGGGCCCTTACATAGCGGTTTTTGACAATTAATCCGGCGAAAACTGATCAACTCTTAGGTATACTTTTAAAGGAAAGACGCTGAAAAATAAATCCTATACCAACATATGTCATCACCTGAGTCTTGCTAAATCCCGATAACAATTTGTATCACCACAATTGTACCTAAGAAACAAACAGAGTCCTATTAACGATTTGATCCCGCAACACATTCTATGGATCACTACCTGACCTTCGATCACAACCATTCAGTAGCCAGAAAAGAAAAACCACCCGGCATCTTGCAGCTTCCAATAATTATTTTGTTACCTATTGTTTACAGTACTAAAGTGTACACGCAGACATGAAGGCTTCTTGTCGTTCTTGAGTAGAACCCAATGACTTACAATTCAAATAAAAGGGCCCAGTCAGGAAGAAACAGCGTATGCGTTAAACCAGCTCCATGCATCCCAATAAATATATCTGTATTGTGACTATTCTGAAAACGAACAAAAAGTATCCATTTCAGATTTTTACTTTATTTAGTTACTATTCCTCCGCAAATAAACCACTTAAAAGTGCCATAACTTCGATATAAACGAGATAGGGAGCTTTAACAACCACCAAGACATGCGAGGGTAAAGAAAACGTCAAAAAAGCAATAAGTTAAATGAGAAAAACCATTCTGCCCGAGCATTACACTTTTTTGTACCGTATTTGTCGGCAATACAAAATTACGACGCGAAATTTTCTGATACAAAGTCTCCGCAATTAGTTAGGCACTGTACCTGAGCTATAAGACATGAGACTTAAATAAAGTTCATTATTATTATTATTATTATTATTATTATTATTATTATTATTATTATTATTATTATTATTATTATTACAAAGTATGATGGAGGATGTTAAAACACATAACGACGAATTATTCCATCTCTTTCTAAACTTGGGTGCGATCCCCAAGAACCGAACTCCAGGAAAGTTCACCCACATTTAACAGACAACGAGCGAGATCGAAATTGTAATTGGAAGCTTTCACTGCCGTCGTGACGAGGGACCATGCAATGGAGCACTTTTCAACACATTTTATCATGACAGACAATGTAGTTGAGTCGAAGCATATCATGGTCGTTGTCCAAGAGCTCGATACATCGGGGTTCAACCTTACTGACACGATTTTGGAAAAAATACAAATTAGTTGTCGACACACAGTTTTAAAGAAAGTTCTAAGACGTCCATTCGATGGTGCCGTTGGATCACGTTAAACGTCACGTCGTCAATTTACGATTCGTAGTAAAGTCGACGACATTGGTACAGGTGCGGCAAATTTTCCCGCTATGTCTTCCTGAAGTTTTTTTTTTTCATGTACCAGACTGTTCAAACCAAAATGCCTACCAACAGAGAAACGACAACCTGAATTGTTTGCGCTACAGTTATGTTTTTAAAGTTAACTTTTTCAAACTGTATATTTTTTTTTCTCTTATCTGGCATCACCCAGCAATATCCCCGCTTTTCCACCGCTCAAATTATGAAAAAGTAAGGAAACTAGGAAATTTATGCTATAAAGAAACAAAAAAAAAGGAGATGAGAGCTATTTAACTTTGTTGATTTGACTTTTATTTAAGTAAATTCAGTTAAACACATGATGTGGTTAATAAACAATACTCACTTTAACTTGATCAAGAAAAGGCACATCCCTGAAAAGTACAATTTAAAATCATAAGATGAAAAAAGCAACATACCCAGCCCTCGTGTCCTGAATCTCACATGATTAACTTTCACATAATTTCAGGTTTAGAACAGTGTTCACAACTCAATATTTTGAACATTTGACACAAAGAAATATCACGTAAATCGTGAATTGATAAAATCAAAGCAGTACCAGGAATAATGTGCAACAGTTAGTCTGACTTCAGGATATGTCTTCAAGGCCTCAATAATCTGCAACAGAAAAAGGCAAATTATTTAAGTGTAAAATAAAACAATTTAAGTTTTTTTCAGAGGGAGATGAGATGGCGTGAGTCTGTGTGTTGGGAAGGAGGTGGGAGGGGAAGTCCAAGGTGGCTTGTGGGGACCAAAGACACACTAATAATACCAGATATGCATTTTTTTTCATCTCTAAGTTGAGGTTTTTACAAGAGTTAAACGCTCGACAACTGTTTTGTCGTTTAGCAACCGGAATTTTCCAGCACATCTTAAAAGAGATAATAACCGGCCTTTTTTGCCCCTCCCTTCACCCCATCACGTGTAGGACATCAACCTCTTCCTCAGGGCTTTTCGCTTGGAAACTGGAATGTTGGTGGGGAGTAATACTGTATAACCGATTAGCCCAATTCTCCGATAAACAGGTCTGGAAACTTCACGAAGACACGATCAGTAAAAAGGATCAAATCTGCAATATTCGCAACCGCAGAGTGATTTTAAGAGACTTACGATACGAAAGTTGTAACAAAAAAAGTTACAAATACATCAAAAACGCATTCACCGTACAATGACTTGTAATCGTTACGTTAGTAAATTATCACCTCGTCTTCATTTAATATTTTTCTAAACTTTGTTCCTCTAGACAGTAAAGTTATGCGGATTGGTTCACTGCTGTTCTGAAAAAAAAAACACTCCTTTAAGTTGAGAGCTTGGGGTTAATAACCCTTGACAAATCCACAGTGGTTATCACTAAAATACTGGTCACATGACCACCAATAACATGATGTCACCACTACACTTCTGTTGGAGACAAATCAAATCACTGGTTTATTGCACCTTTTGCCTCAGATGACTGAATTGTAGGTCCTATACAAAATTATAAATATGTTCTGTCACATAACTTATTAATAACATTGATATTTTACAGTAACGATGCCAGGTTTAGCTCTCGTACTTACACACTGATACTTATAGCTACGACTCTGTTGTGGAAAAAGCAACGACGACGGCGACGGAAACGAGAACTTAAAAAAAAGATGGGTTTAACAAGCAAAACAAGAACTTTGCATGTGCATTTTTCACTGATTTTTGTACATTTTGATACATATTTTTTTATTTCTTAGTTATAAGTAGCAGATGAAGAGTCGCAATGTGGAAACCCTGTTATTAACCCGATTACTTACTTACTTACATTTCATTGTCGTTACTGTACGACTACCACTTGAAAATGCCTAATTTCACGTTTTGTGGAGGACGTAAACAAGCTACGACGAATTTTCCTTTCTCTTTCTAAACTTGAGTGTGGTTCCCAAGAAATCAACTCCCAGGAAATTCGCCTACAATTGACATTTTCAGTGGATTGGAATCAACCTGGTTCCCAGGCTCCCTCTCGCTACGTAGAGACGGGTAGAAGAGCACCCTGGGAACGAGGTTGAATTGGACGCGACAAAGTTTAAAAACCGCAAATTCATTTTAAAAGTGTCGTACTCTCTGCCGTCGCCGTTGTCGATGCTAAAGCTCCCTACTAAGTCATACGACACTCCTGGCCAAATAATGGAAAGAGCCCCTTTATTGCATGTTCTACCATAATAGTTAAGCAATACATAACGGGAAACGAAGAAGTATTCTAGAATACAGCACGAGAGAATGAGATTGGGCTGGACACACCAATTAGTAAAGACCAGAGCAAATTAGCGCGCAGTAGATATGAAGGATCATCAGCCACAGTTAAAATAAACTTCTTCAGTGTCTCAGGGCATAAAGAAGTTACAGTGGAACCCCTCCTTTGGGACACCTCCATGCAGGGGACACAAAATTTGTTCCGGGAAAAGCCTCCACATAATCTTTGTCTCTGTTACCTCTACTCTGTTGAATTGAAATCTCTATTCTAAGGCCCAAAGCCTGAGTATGACCTCCATTCAGGGGTCATCTTAGCACTCAAAACATGACTGTCCCCAAAGAAGGTTGATAACTTAAAGCGTACACTAATAACAATGATGACAACTTTCAAAAACTGAACAATGTCACTTAATCGATGTACTGCACTTGTGTGAATTCAACATTACAATATCGCACATATATAGAGAATACTTCATGGAAAGTGCTGGCGTACGGTATTTACGCACGAGTTGTTGACGTATCAGAAATTGAACGAGTGAGCGCAGGGAACGAGTAAGATTTCTGATACAAAAATAACGAGTGCGTAAATCCCGTACAAAGCACTTTCCATGTGGTATTGTGTTTATTATATACATACTGAGACATCATCATTTTGGCGGCTTTTTTATTTTAAATCTTTCAAAAATGCTAAAATTTGCCGCTACACACTTACCGCAAAATGACAACGAAAACGAAGTATCAGCTTTTTAGTAAAAACGTTCGTTAAAAACATAAATGACGGTGAGGATATGAGGTAATCCAAGAACCATAAGTAATCTCAACTGTTTGTTCTCAATGCACAATTGAAAATGAGTGAATTTAAGTAAAATGGCCAGTTTCAATATAAACTTAAGCTTAAATGAAAGGCAAAGTAGCTCCGACAAAAAGCACAACAAAAGCTTACGTCTCGTTCTGTTTATCCCTTTCCGCTGTTGTTTCACGAGCTCTCTACCGTTTTCTTTATCGACAGTGAAACAAACGAAACTATTCCCACTCCATTTCCGAAATGTTTATCACTTTTTTAGCGAGAAAAACTCTTTGAGTAAAACTTTTCTCGTTGAATGTGTGCGAAGCGGCGCTGCAAGCTGCAATAAAAGGCGGCAATTTTGGCGCGAAACCCACACACCTCTGTGCCTTCTGATTGGACGTATCATTTTTCTCACACGTGAAAAAACATCGTTCGCGATTCTGATTGGACGTATCATTTTTTTTCACGTGTGAAAACCATCGTTCGCTCCTCTGATTGGCTAGAACTAATTTGCGTACGAAAATTTACGACATAGCTTTTTGGTGAGTATTTCTCAGTATGTATATAATAAAAGATAATAATGATTTCTTTTTTCTATTGTCTTCGTTGGTTAACTATTAACAAACCCCAGCCCAACCTCGATCAGCTTGCCTCGGTCTTGCCTGGGACCAGGCTCTGCACTACGGGGGAAAAAAGGAGAAAAAAAATCGCTGTGGGCGAAATAAAAAATCGGCTAGCGAAGCGAGCCGAGCCACCGCTTGGCTCGCTTCGCTCCCCGATATTTTTCCTATTTGACCCTTTTTTTTTTTGCCTTTCCCTCCCCCCCCCTCGCCACACACACTGCAGAGCCTGGTCCCAGGCTAGCCTCGGTCCTGAGGGTGTCCCCTGAAAAGAGGTTCCACTGCACCTTACCAAAGATGACACTGACAAGCTACTATCAGTTTGAGTTGTAAGTAAAAAACGTTTAAAGTTTGGGTGCTCACACAACTTTTAAGCGAGTAAATTGTCAGCAATTAATTTTGATCCCAATTCACCTGTAAGTTCTTTTCTTGCATGATTCCAAGCCTGTTCATGAGATGTTCTGAGAAAGCTTTAAATAGGCCACTTTTAGAGCAACCATTAATCTGAAAGGAACAAAAACATAGCACAACACTTTCATTCCACCAAAAGTAAAAACTTTCTCTTCGTAAGTCCGGTTCAGAGATCAGCCTTTCTGGTTCAGCCAAAAAAAATACGTGATCTGATTAACAACGACTTTCCTCCAACAATTCTTACTGCAGCAGCTCAGATGTTCTGATACTCGTCTAGAATGGCTGCGAATTTCTCCCCGATCCAGACGCTACACTTATGCTAACGCGTAAATCATTATAAAATATAAGGCAACCTTTACATGCAATTTTTGTTCCTTGATTTGTATCAATTTCGTGCTCAAAAATTTCACTTAACTATTACAAGAAAGGTATGAAAAGTTAAAAAAAAACTCACCAAAGGAGTATTATAGTACAATCCAAACACCATTCTAGGAAGAAGAGCAAAGATAGCTTGTTTAAAACATACCTGCATAGAAAACATTAGATTTGATCAGTACCATTCTGGAATAACTATACGTTAAGATTGCTACAGATTCTAAAATTTCCCAGTGTCAGCCCGTGAAAAAGACTGTGTTTCAAACCAAAATTAATAGGGCACAATTAATATAAAAATATATCAGTTCTATTTTGGTTCTCCTTCCTTTTTTTGCCAAGATGATCCGTCTAGTGTTATTCTTTGATTTTTCTTTTTTACCTTTTTGCTGATCCAGTTTTTCAGATTCACCCATTTAACTAATTATATCTGGTGTAAACTAAATCACACGTTTTTTAATTCAGAATAAGATGTTTATCTATGCGCCCTCAAGATTCCCCTTCACGACACTCCATATTTTGACCCAGAATTATTCGCCAACATTGAAACAGATATAGCTGTATTTCACAGAAAAGGTGAACATAAATGTGTCGCCTCCAAATTTAGGGCAAGAAATCATAACTTAAAAATCGAAACTGGAAGATTTACAATTCCCAAAACTCCTGAAGATCTTCGAATTTGTGATCACTGCAGTCTAAATTCAGTTGAAAATGAAATGAACGTATTATTTCACTGTGATCTATATGACGGATGATTTGAGAAAGACTGTTTATAATATTAAAACCAACAAACGAAATACATCATTTACAAATTGCAAGAACCAAGATAAAGTCTGTTTTCTTTTTCAACAACACTGCTTTGCATATCAGCCGGCTAACTGCTAATTTCGTTTTTCAAGCATTTGAAAGACGAAAGAAACATAATAATAATAATTAATTATACCATTCAATTATGTCTGTATTTCCTTAAATTTATCTGTTCATTATTGTATTTTAATCGGTAACACCATGTATAGAAATGGTAATACTGAATAAACTTGTTGTTGTTGTTAGTCTGACTCAATGTTGTTTATTGGTTTACAGTGGTGGTTATGCTGATCCCTCTAAAAGTTCATAAACATACATATATTAAACACCCTTTCTCACAACATGCTGCAGCTATTAAGGTTAAAAACCACATCAAATACCCCGGGGGGATGCCTAAAGGCCCAACCCCTTACCTTTTTTAATACCATTATTGACAGAAAAGGTAACCTTTCTGTATGCCTTTTGTTGATAAATGGTACATGTACCCCTTTCACATACTAGTTTAGAATGCTACATCCCTTTTAATTGCTGTAAATGCACCATTTTTGAATATCAAGAAACCACACTAAGCCATATAAATTGAACCTGTTAGCCCTTTTTAGGCCCTCTCAACAACCACAATGACAAATTTCCCTACACTCCCTACCCTCTCTTATAGTTCAACTAGTTAAATCCCTAGAATTTCATATACCTGAAGCCTCAAAATGTGTCCCCCTTTTGGGTGGAGCCTCCCTGTAGGCCATCACAGGGAGTAACCCCCCCCCACCCCCTGCTCTTCAGTCAAATACCACCAATGCAGAATTTCACTTTATTATATTGCACTAAACTTCTTAACATTATTTCATTTACCCGTTTGTTCTTGTATTCTTGGCCAAGATAAACAACAGGATTTGAAGTGAATGCTTTCCATGTGGCTCCAAAATTCCCCAGACTTCTCCTTTCGTACTGCATTCATAAAAGTTAAGCATATAAAAATAAATGCTTTAACTGTATACAATAACTTTTTTCTCTAGGTTTGTAAAAACGTTATTCTTTGGCATTATAACCGTCAGTTTTAACCAATTTTCTTACTTTTTTAAATACTCAAGGCATAATTTATAGGCAGTTTGAAGGCTTGATTTTTACAACGTCTTTTACAAGAGAATGCAAATACCTAATTGTGGACATTAAGCTACATTAAAAAACTACTATGGACATGTAATTACCTACAATGTAACTATTTTCTTGTCTATTAGAATTAAAAAAGAATATTTCGTTTGTTTGATTCAGTAATTAAGTAAGATTAGCATTGTTTTTAAATAAAAGGCAAAACAACAAGTACAAGTTACAACATTATAAATTTTAAAAGTGATACGCACTTATTAGTTTCACCATTAATAATAACAATACAAAAACTGATAATAGTTCAATTTTTTTATCAACTAATTTTAATCTAAAAAATGCACAAAACATTTCTTTACATAGCATTATTAAAACCATGACCTGCATATATGTGGTAGGCAGCAAACAGATGCAAATAAGGGTAAACCTTAATTGGAAAATTTTTGAAAAGTAATTTCAGTAACGTGAGCTATAGGAAACACCAACAATGACATACTCTGCTCTGACCTTTTCCCATAATACCATATTGACATCAGTGTCAAATGATCCATTGACATGCTGTGTAGCATACAGATTGAAAAAGTCACAGAAATGATGGTACATATTTACGACTGCAACAAAAAAGGAAATGGTGAAAGAATGAAAGATGGTCAATTTTAAGCTCAGTGAAACAAATGTGAAAATGAAATAATCAGCATGTCACGAGCATGGGACAAAGAAAAAGCCTCAGTCCCCAACAGCATTCAAACCAATGACCTCCCAAAAGGTCTGGGGACTCAGACTTTTCTTTGTCCCATGCTGGTGACATACTGATTATTATATTTTTATTTTCACAAAAAGGAAATGGTTTTAAAATACAGTCAGTAGGTAATAACCTAAATTGTAAGGAAACAAGAACACTAAGAACAAAGGAATCAAACCAACATCATACTTGCGGTTTCTAGTGCAGGGCTCGAAAAAAACCTTGAATTTCAGCTTATCCTTTGGGCAGGCATTTCACACAATTTGCTTGCACAGGGCCTACACTTCTTGCTAGCCCTTGTCGATGATCTTTCTATTACTGGATGTCTTAAATTGCCTGGACCCTTGCCCATTGTGTACTTTACAGTTAAAGTTAATTGCCAAGCAAAAACAACTACTTGTCCTGGACTACAGTGTACCAGATGGGACTTTTTTCAAGCCCTGTAGTGATTATTTAACAATTATTCCTCGAGTCCGAATGGGCTCTGAGTCAATAGCCCATGAGGCAGTAGGCCGAATGGGCTATTGACTCAGAGGACATGAGGACGAGAGGAATAATTGTTTTAGTAAAATCCAACTAGTTGGTCAAAAATATCGAGAATAAAAAATTTTAGCTAGTTAAAGCTAGACTTTAATCCTTTTTTGCCGCCGAAAAGTGCGCGCTTTTCGCTACTAGTAGCTCAACCAATCAGAACGCGGCATTGATAATAGACCACTAGTTGGATTTTACTAATAAATTATCTATATCCTACACAGCGGAAAATCATTATCACACAATTCCGTGACACAGTGCTTGAGCAACAAACCTTTCATAAAAACCCTTCAAGCCATACCAGGATTAATCATACCATGATACAGGACACTACAATTTAAAACTATTTTTGTGGGCATGTTGGTTATGAAAAGACTCTTCCAGGTCTTTGCATTTGAGTTAACCTGGTCTAATTCAGCTGTCAGTGGCATACATGTTATGTAGTCTGTTACACGCATGTATAAGCCGAAACCATTTCTTAGATTTTTGATGCAAAATCATGGGTGCCACTTATCTACCGTCTCTTCTGATCAGTGTAAATAATGCTCAGATAGGGGCTAAAAAAAGAACTAAAAAATTATATAATAAATCAATAAATAAACATTACTCCAAAAATTATGTTGTTGATCATTGCTTTAGAGGTAGTGATGGCTCTGAAATGAGCCATTTCTGTCTTCAGGTTCAAATCATGAACCAGCAAAACTTACAACAACAACAACTTTACAGGACAGCATGGATTTAGCAAAGCAGATTTAATACAAAAAGCAATAGGCTGGTAGAGAGAACAACAAATATGTAACCTTGTTTGGCAGTAATTCCTTAAGGTGATTGATTATACATGAGTGTTGACATGTACAGTATATTTGTGACAATCAATGGCAAATGACTATAAAATTTGTTGGTGAACTTGATTTTACCTAGATGTCCTCAACATACCTGCATCAAGCTTCATGAAAAATGTTGGTTTTTCAACCAAAATGTCACAATGTTCTTTTTGATTTGCTGGAAACGTTAATGGTGAAAAGTCTTCCACTTCATTTAACCTGGAAAAGTGTAAGCCAGTACACTTTAATTAGTCTCAGTTGCTAATTTTCATAGATACATATTATTCCTCTGAATTAATCCCTATTTGTCTAGTTAAACAAACTCTAGATTTTGATTTTGCATTGACTTCTGTTTCGACTTGTTACCATGAACTGAGTTCCATTCTGTATATGCCCTCTCCAGTGAGAGTGTTAGAATCAACTTCACAGAATCCACCAATTTGTTGAGGTTTAAATGGATCAGAATTAGATCTGCAAAGCAGAGTTTATAAACAAAAAACAGTTATCAACACATTCATCACATTGAATAATTGTCTGGAATATTTTCACCCTTAAATCTGACACGGTGTTTTCTGTATACCAAGGCTCTGCTGGACTTAACATGGTATTTTTTAATCTCTTATTCTGTAGACCTCATAATGAAGGTTTTTTCACACTATAATTAATTGTGAAATCAAGGTACAAAAGTACTGAAGTCTACCATGAGAGTTGGCCCAAAACAGGAGATGCATCATCATTATGATTAAGACAGAGTCCATAAGGTGTCTCAGTAAGCACAGAATGCATTATGATCAACCAAATTGGAGCCAGCTTTGCTAAGTTAGTAAAAAACACAATATGGATGGTTACCTTTATCAATTAGTGGGCCTCTAAATTATCATGAAAACATAATAGCCACACACAACTATACAGCTCTGGTACTGTTACCTTTGAAGTTCCTTCTCACTGTTTCTGAAATCCATGTAAAGGTTTTGGCCTTTACAATACGTCAACTGCTTTGAGCAGACAAGAGAAGAACTTTCTGCCTGAAGAAAATCAGCAACATTTATATCTTAGTTCTAACATAATTGTCTAAAAAAGTGCATTAAAAAAATAAGGTATAAGTATTGATTATATTTATGTGCTGCATTAATAATGCACATTAAGTGAGGTAGGAAAATTTGAGGTCTGTGAGATAACAGCTATAACTAACAATAATATTATTGGATGAGGCGGAGTAGATCATCTGAATAAATGGAGATCAAGGAGGGTTCACATGGATAACACCCTCCCTTTGTCCTCCTTTTCCAATTACACCTGGGTTCTACAGGCAATCACTTTCTGTATCAGAATCGACATCTTCCACCAAAATATCATTCATATAAAACTAGACATTATTTTGAATATGACAAAGTAATTGTTTTCGCAGACTATAGCTCTTCCCTGCAGGAATATGTTTTGTGGATTGTGAATAAAAACACAAGAATTAACCCTCAAAATAAAGCGCCACACTGTACTTGGCCAGTTAGTGATCACAGTCAGTTTGCAGGGCTGTCACTAATATTTCAAGTTGTCACGTACATGCAGTTAGTAGGTGGTGAATTGACTGGCTGGAAAGTTCTTTAAAACTGGTTCTATATTCCTTTTGTTTGCTATGAAAGTACCTGTAGACGAGGGTCATGCTCATCGTAGCCGGGGGAAATCTCCAGCCTCTCGCCCTTAGCGACAGCCCTGCTGTCACTATACATGCATGGGCAATTAGAAGGTAAGATATTAAACCTTGTTTTCCTTAGGCTTGCATACAAACTGCAGACTATCTTGAACAGATTTTATATAACCAAAATCTGCATCTTTCCAGAACTGGTAGACCTTATCTTCATATCTGCAATGAATTACATGTACATTAATGAGCATTATTTTAATGCAAAGACAGGTCAACTAATGCAACGATAAAACAATTAAGAATAAATTTCAAACAGGGAGCCCAAATGGGCACCCAAACTTATGATTCTCAGGCTAACTTATGGTGAACAAACAACAAAACTCCCTGCTCGTTCTACACTTTTGAAACAAAAATGGATAACGTTTGGTCGTCGGCCATAGGCAAAAAAAATATAATTTCCGCCGCTAAAAGGTAAACAAACAAGCACTTGTCTTGAAATATGCTTCCGTGACTTCCACCTGCGACCAGCGCAGTTGAAGTTTCTCGTCGGAAAACGGCCTCGAATGAATTTAATACTCTTTGAAAAAACTTCGATATTAAAATCATGACTTTTCCTCCAGCGTTAGAAATGTTTGGTTGCTACTGCATCAAATAAAAACTGATTAAAAGACGTAATCCATGGTAAAAGCAAGAGGTTTCAAATTACATGTGACATACAGTATGCTAATTTTACTTCTGCAAGTTTGTAGCATTTTCTATCTTGCTATGAATACAAACAGTACACTCAGAGGTTTCTTTTATTGTTTATTCAGCGTTATCTACGCCTCCCTATTTTGTACTATTTTGTGTATATCAAAAGATAGACTTGATTCAAAAATACTGAGTCAAATAATTTGCGCCAAAATGACGTTACCTGGTGCGATTTTTTGCAGGAGAAACAAGTCGAGCTTTTACTCTCTCACTCGCTTTTTGCTGCAGAAAACATAAAAAATCTACTGCTCGCGCTTCGCACTTGCAAAAAAATTGGGAGAGCTCAACTTGTTGACAAGTCTAACGCTGTTGGTCAGTACATTTGCGTGCAAAAAAATGGTTATTGTTATGTTTCTTGAGAAATAAATCGTTTTTTTTCTTTACATCCTTTTGAGTGGCCAATATAAAAAAGGCTGGTTTCTCCAAACTCAAGACTCAGTGTTTGCATTTCGAAACTCAGTTCATTCAAGTCTTGCGTATTCTTCCAGTTTTGTCTCGTCATGCAACGCTTCTTAGGGTTGTGTGACCAGTCAAAAGGGAGACTTTGGTTTCGAGTAGCGTGAATCAAGTTTCAAGGATCTGGTTGAGACTGTCAACTTTAAGATACAGAAACTATCGATAGGGTCATTCTGGTGAACTTATTAAAACTATAGGTTTAGATACAGGGTTGACTGTTTTTGAAATACAATGAAGTAAGAAACCTCCAGTACGGACAAAAGGAGATTGGACCTTAAATGTTAGTTGACCCTTTACTATGATACTATTTGTGCCCTAGAGTTGAATAAATGATAAATCTGAAGCTTATTGACCTTCTCTATCAACTGATCAGTGCAAGTTATCGTGTAGTCGAAGTTTGACACGTTTAATAAAGTTACTGATTTTTTTTCAATTGGGCTCCTAACTTTTTATTTTAGGAACCCACAGGGCTCCCAGAAAAAAATTCTTAGGCAGCAGCCTTGTACAGGATCATTAAAAAAATACAAAAGATAGAGTGGTCACATGTTTCAAGGTTAAGAGCACCTCAATTTTTCATAAAAAATTGTAAAACCAAAAATACCATGCACTGAAGACCTCATAATTATTTTTTTGTTACCACATAGCTATAGATTTGAGCAACACTGAAACCATTTCGGAAAAGTAAAACTAATGTATCAAAAAATAATATTAGGATGTGCAGTTTCTTTAGCCAGACATGACCATAAGAGAGAAGAACTCAGAGTTCCCAAGCAGAATCCAATCCATAATTCTAAGAAAACAGAATTATTATAAACAAGCTTGTTGTTTCAATGATGGACATGCAGGTAGGATTAAAATACTCACGACTTGAAGTATCTATGAGTCATACTGTCGTCACAGTGAGGCTTTGTAAACCACTTGTCAGGTGACCTACAACCTTCTTCATAACCCCAACACTCATGTGTTCTTTTCACCTCCTGGTGGTGGGAAAAGAATGACAAGATGTACGTAAAACACTATTAATTTTTAGGGACTGATGTGTTTTCTCTGTGAAACAAAACCATACATAAATTAATTAATTTTGCTTTTAACCTTGAGGTAAATGTTGTACTAAAAATGAGTAGACAGCGAACAATTTATAGATCTTTATCGACACCTAGTTTATCAACAGGAATCGCAAAGAAAAAATCTACCATGAAACAAAGTAGTTAATAATGGTCATTTGGTGGTATAGCAGAGGTGGAAATAATTTTTCTTACTTAAAAAGATGACTGTCCTTTCAATTCTTAATTTTGAAAGGAAATATTCAAAAACTGGTCGGTCATTAATTAGCATGACATATTTACTCAAATACCGCAAAATTCCGAAAATAAATACAAACCAGTAACGCAAAAAACCCTCCGTTAAATCACCCCTCCAAATATAAGCCCCCCGGGGGGTTGTACTTGGAAAATTACACAGCTTAAATGTGGCACTTGTTTGAGGGTGGCATTTATTTGAAAGTCGGACGAAATAAAGAATTTTTTGAACTATGATATTGTTATTTTCCATATTAAACAGAATTAACGTCTTTTGATTTTGATTATAAAGGGGCCATGGTGCTTTACATTTTTGTCCCAAACACAGCACTTATTCAAGAGTGGCCCTAATTCAAGTAAATATGGTTATGCTTTCAACCTGGCTTGCATCAAATCTCTTGAAAGTACAAGGCAAGAAAACCCAAGCAATGATTCTGGATAACCCCTCTCAAGCACCTGTTCTTCACATTGGGGATTCTGCTATTTTTTTTAAAAAAAGAAATTTATAATCTTCCCTCCAAATTTCTCTTGATTCCAGACACAATTTGCATAAATCTCAAGCTTTGAAAAAAAAAACGAAATAGTCGAAATAGACCAGCAGTAGAAGACAAATGAATTAATTGTTTATGGTTCACAGCCAACCTCCAAGGTAGGCAGTCATCGTTTGCACTATTGTGGTTGTTCCTCAAACTGGGGAAAAAAACTGCACAGAAAGTTTTCTTGTTCGTCTTACAAAGCTTTCTCCATTTTTCAGATCATTGAAACAGTCAGCCATTTCAGTTTCAAAGCATGTTCTTTCAGTTGCATAAACTTGATTTCTATATATGGAAAGTAGAGCCCAGTAATTCGTTAACAAAGAGAGCTGCTTTGTTTCACCGGATTGGAAGATGAATATGTGGACATTTTCCTCAAAATAGTCTTTTACTGGAATGGAAAGTTTATCTTTTGATCATGGCATTTTACCTTTTAATGCTTTTGAAATAGCTCCTAAGACAAGAGCTAAATCAATAGGCCATTTGCATGATGGCGTCATTTTACTACTACACCCAGAATTCTTTTGGTTTTTCTAGGTTTAAATAACAAAAGTCCTAATTTGCACAAGAAAGCAAAACCCTGAAGGATACTGGTCATAGTAGTAAAATGACGCCATCATGCAAATGGCCTATCAAGTGTTTGGACATTGTGTCCAAATATATTGCATATATATATTATATCATCCGACAGTAATTTCCAGCACTGGTATAGTGGGCATAACTTCATTAATAATGGTGTGCTAACCCTTGTTACAATCAAAGTTGCCTCTAGCTTTTCATATTAAAAAAACAGTAATTTGACGGTTGTTGTTGACCCAAAATAGAACAAAAAAAATCAAGGCAAGTGAAAATATTGATTTTAAAGGATAAAAATAAGCAAGCCAGACATCAAAAAATGATTTGTACAAAACTATTGTCATTGATTTACATTCTTATTTCTGTTAACAAGGAAATTTAGTTTAACTCATTGAAGTGAAAAATAGAGTGAATTTACTAATCAACCCGTGAAATAGATAGTAGACACTTATAATAATATTATTTGGCACTTACTGTTACATACTATTTCACAGGTTGAATTAAATATTTCACTGAAAAAGTTTTATTCGTGAAATCCAGAAGTTCAGTTTGCATGTGACAAACAAACTTCTTTTAAGTGTAAGATCTTGTCAAGTCCTGTAATGCCTATGTCAATGGGGCTCATAGAGCAAAAACAATACCGGAGTATAACACAGGTGCAACAGACAAGCTCAGAGCAAGTAAATACTGAAGGTCAATGAAAAAGTGAATAACAGCTCCCCAAAAAAACTGTCGGCCGACTGTGGGCAAAAATTTTTTGAGGCTAGGTTGTTCTCAACTTCCTTCGCCTCCTCTACCAATTCCTAGACCCAATTGATCAAATTAGGGCTTCTAAGGAGACTTACAACAAAAACACCTGTCTGCACAATATGCTGGACAAGAACTTTTTTAGTAAATTAAATTTACGTCGAATTTCGGAAAAAAGAGGACACAATAGACTTTCCTGTGATAAGTTTAACTCCTGAGGATATTTTTAAGCACTTATCTGCTTGAAAATTTCGCTCAAACCAATACCATGCAGAGGACTACAGCGAGTTTTCGAAAACTGCATAACAGCTGTGCATAAGCATGTTTATGAAGTGATAAGGAGGTTTCTATGCAAATTTGGAGACAGACGCTTGTTTCGGTATTTTTTTAACTTTACTGAGCTTATAGAAGCTTATAGTTGAAAAGGAAACATCAAGAAATTAGCAAGTTTAATTTGAATCAATTCGAAATAAGCACCAAAAGGTAACCTAAAGCTTACATATGCAAACATGAAATTAAGGGGATTCCTAGATACACTGACCTCGCATCTTCCATGCTTTTCACAAGTCTGTGGATTAGGTCCCTCTGTTTGTGAGAAGAAGGAGTCTCCTTTCTCGTGAATTTCATTGCTTTTATCCCTTTTTTGTTTCTCCCCGGTAAAACTCATAGGAAGCGCTACCAGCAAGCAAACGACGATCCTCTGCAACATGTTTGACTCAATATCAAACTCATCGTAACGACTGAGTGAGAACTGGTAACGACTGCGAGGAAGAAATCGCGCGATCGCGCGAGGAAGTAGAGAGTCAGGAGGTGGGAGGACATGAAACTAAAAATTCTCCACAACTGCTACCTTGGAACAGATCTGAAAGAGGCCGTTGTGTTAGGCTGGTTGTGTTTCAACAACAGTCAATGTCTGGATTATTTGGCCGTGCCTTCCGACTAAAAATACGTGAATGTCAGGACCACTTCCCAGGAGCACCTCGAGAGAAAGGCAAGAAGTAGGAACCATCGTTAATTTTTTTATCGCTTTTAACCCTAATAGCTCCTCATTGTGATCCAATTCTCGTGTCCTCTCATCGTTCCTTGTCGTTCTTCGCAAATGGTTGCTACGAAACCAGCTGTTTACTTCAAATAAGTCAGTCAGTTGGGGATCAGCATTATCCCCGACTTTTCTCGTCACAAATATCACCGCCCTGAGTCTTGTTTGCCTAAAAGAAAGGAACATGGAAATCATGCCAAAATAGTGTCGGTATGAACGACTATTAATGTACGCTGATTGTAGTCCATAGTAAATTCGTTGTAGAGTGCATATGACTCAGTTAATATAACGGCCTGTCTATCTTTACATAGAGTCTATATCCTGTATTTAGAAATCCTGAATGAAATTTTAATGTTAAGTTAGTGTATTAGATAACAGTACGTAATATTACATAATGTAATGGGTAAGCAATGGATATAGTTAGTGTAATACTACATGATCTAAGGTCTAAGCTCAGTGTAGTTTGTACAAGTGAGTGAACCTGAGTGTCAGATAAAATTAATTGAACTGAATATGCTCTATTGTTGTGGTTGAATTTGCCACCCCTTTGCTGGCTGTCTTTAATTTGCCCACGTTCATCTGGAAAATGCGAGAAATACTGGGAAAATAGAGACCGGTTAGAAAACGGTCCTGTTGCTATAGTGATGTTAAAAACTAAACATGCTGTTTTCCCCTTGTCCCAACGAAGCCCACATACCACATTTCCTCGAATAAGCATCCAGGGCCCGGTTCCTGAAAGGCCGATTAGCGCTAATCCAGGATTAATATTTTGTTCCACTTTTTGTATTTACCTTCCTATGCATTGCTGTGTAAATCGTTACTGTGTCTCAGAGTAAAGGCTCAACAGTATTTTGTAAGCTTGAGTTACATGCTACTAGCAAGAAAACCTTGCTTAAAATTTCGCTTAATCCTGAGTTAAACTTAACCATCTTTCTAGGAACCGGACCCATGTCTTCTTTGTAAGCCTCATATGTACTGTAAATGCTCAAATTAGGGCCCCTAATCAAATAACCACACTCCTTCGAATTAGTGTCACCTTAAAATTCCCCTCTCCATCTTAACAACAAGCCTTTTTTCCCTTTTTAGATTATACGGTATACAGCACCTTTTTTCAGTGTTTGAATGAATAGAAAGCATATCATGTATAATCACCAGAAAATGACACTATCGAACGTTAAGGACGCGGCTCCTGTAACAATAGTTCGCAATTATTTATTAAAGTGGTGGTGTACATTAAAGGATAATTATCCCCGTGCTTGCCAATCAGAGCAGCCAACGAAAAGCACAACCTCGTTCCTAGGGTTCTCTCCTACCCGCAAACGAGGTTGCGGAAGGCATTCTTCAGTGGCTTGATATTTTCTAATATGTAATGATACCTACAGGCTTTCATCAAAACAGTTCTGCATTTGAAACAGAGAAAAGAATAAATCTCGCGGCTAAAATTCTGACGACGAAAAATAAGCGCCCTCCCGATTCTCGACTTCGAAAAATCATTGCCAGAAATAGTGGACATTTCGCGCCCGTGATTAATTGTCAGCGGAATCTCATTTCCAAAATGGCGGACAAAAACGATCGTAGTCAGGGAAAGCGTATCCCCTGCGATTTTTTAAATAATTTGAGCTCTGTGGATCTGTTTTACGAAGAAAAAAGCTGGAATGAAACATCTTGCAAGAAAATGTTAGGTTTATACTCGGCCGAGCGGCTGATAGCAACAAAACAGTACGCGGCTGTACCTTTCGTGACATTTTCGTGACATTTTCGTGACAATTTTGTTTTAAAACCAAGCCTGGTAGGCTAATCGAGGATTTTTGAATGCCTGGAACCTAGTTTATATCCCGTGAAGCATCTCTGGAGTTGTAGCAACAACCAAAATGGCGATTCGGTGAGGTTTGGAGTTGTGAAGCTTTGTCCGACCGAAATAAGTCATTCGCAACCATGGCGTCCATTACTGGACTACAGATGGAAAACTGCGGGAAATAATGCGCCTTTGGAAGTATTTTCCAGTGCAAAAATCGTCCTTTTAACGACTGTTTTGGAAACATCTTCCATCGCAGAAGTGATATCGAGTCGTGCAAATTTACTTCAGTGAAGGGTTTATCCTCTAATCGACGAGTATTTCGCATGACTTCGGCAAGATTTTAAGACAATGTATGGAGAAATGGAGCGTACAACGAGAGATAAAAGTGGCCACTTCGGGAAGTAAGTAAACCTACTTCTAATTAGCTATTTTTAACCCAGATGCGAAGGTTGCACAGCACTTAACATGTTTCGAGTCGTGCACCGAACACCCGTGAGCTCATAATCGATATATTTGAAAAAGTTTCCTTTTCTCCATACATTTTCTTATACGAATTCGCAGCCATTGTGGCCTTGGTGCGCACGCGCAACCGCCATCTTGTCCCTAATTTCTGGCAATGTTTATTAAGCAAAGCGAGGAAAAATTAGAGCATTTGCAATATGGCTCCCGTGACAAAATATACAATTTGTAAGCACTTTTTCTCGCTTAATTTCACCAAGGATGAGGGTGGCCGATAAAAATAGTACAATAAAGCGACAGAAATTACATCTTTTTGTTGGCATTGTCATGTTTTTCTCCAACTCCATTTTGGGACGTTATGTGCTAACTCCTTCCCAGTCCTTTAGAGGGTGATTTCCTGTGTAGCAGTTGTTTCAGCCATCTTTTACCAAAGGGGAAGTAGCGCACGAGCAAAAGAGGGCAGGTGGAAACGTAAAAAGGAATGACTACTACGCAGGCTATGCGGCTCAAAGACGCGTATGCCTCCCCCACTCCCCCCTTTTTCTGTTGCTACTTTACACCGTATTTATTCGAATAAGCGCCCAACCTCGAATTAGCGCCCACCTCGAATAAGCGCCCATCCTAAAGGCAGAAAAAGTTAATTAGCGCCCAGCCTCGAATAAGCGCCCACCTCCACACCACTCCCCCACACAAACTCCAATAACAGATAATAAGAGACCCTCCCGAAGACGAAATTTTCTTCAGAGTATTTTACAGAAACCCCTCTTTCTTACATCTTCGCTTTTTGTTGTCGCTAGTTATTGTTTTCTTGCAAAATAAACATACTACACTTGCTAAGAATGGTGAAAATTTTACAAGCGCCCAGCCTCGAATAAGCGCCCACCTCGAATCAGCGCGCACTATCAAGGTACAAAAATTTAACAAGCGCCAAGGGAGGTTTATCGAATAAATACGGGGGTATTTCATATATTTATAGGCTGGGAAATGCACTTGATCCCCGCGAAGTCTCCATGGTAACCGTCCTCGATTTTACAAATTTCAAATTTTTCCATCCCTTTCCTCTGGACTGAAAACAATATTGCAAATTTCCCCTCCGCAGGGGCAGAGAATCCAGTTTATTCCCATTTTATGCCCTTCTTTCCTTTTTTTCTTTTTTTCTTTCTTTCTATTTTCGCAAATCTATTTCGAGATTACTTTCTCAATGTCTTTTCCCCCCCTGCTTTTTTTCTCAGTTTGCTGCTCTTTTTTGTATTCCTTTCGCATGGACTTTTGACTGACAAGCTTTCCAGGAACAAGGAGTAGAGGGAAGGTAAATAGCAAATTTTTACAGGCTTTTTCTCAAATATTTTTCTTGTTCTTTTTGTTTCTATTAAAACTCTGTCAGAAAAAAATGCTGTTTACCAATTTAAATTAAGCGTGTGAAAGGTTTGAACCCAGGAGTCATTTCTTAAGTAGGTTGAGTATGATCGTCTGGGTGAACGTAGTCCTGAATAGGACTGTTGTCGTTGATAGTGACTGACGTTTCAACAAACTATGCGGTTTTCATCTTCAAAGTAAAAGTGAGTTCTATCACGTCACTTGATGGTATTAAACTCTAGTTATTAACCTGATAATTGGTCAATTAAGTCGCGATCTTATTGATCGTCTGTCAGTTAAGCCGTAGTGTTATTGGCTATGAAGACTCGTAATATAAGTAGTGCCCTTCGATCCGTCTTACTGTCAGAGTTTAACAGTCGTTTATTGTTAGTCAAATGATCAGTTCTCTAGTCGTTCTCTCGTAGTTAGTTTTTCTTGATTCCGTCAACAGACAACCAATAAGATCCCGCCTTAATTGACCAATCAGGTCAATAACAAGAGTTTAATACCATCAACTGACGTGATAGAATTCACGTTGACCGTGAAAATGACTACCGTAAAGGTTGTCGAAACGTCAGTCACTGTCAACAACAACAGTCCTATTCAGGACTACGTTCACCCCGACGATCATACTCAACGTACCTATTAAATGAAAGGCTTTCGTATCCAGTCAAAAACATTGATTAGGAGGTAGTTCCCGCTGTACCAATTTCAAAGACAAATATTCTTTTCTTCCCCGAAAAGGAGTTTAGGGATTCAAACACAAAGCTTTTAAATATATCCTAGCTGCTGTTATTACACAAGCGATTTTCATGGACCGGTGTTAAGTGTCTAGCAGGTATGTTGCAACTCTTTATTAAACATTTCTAATAGTCCACGATTTACATGGGTTATAAGCAGACAACTGTTTCCCAATCACCTTTTTTTGGACTACAGATAAATGCAAGAAGTACTGTTGCCACATCCACAAGCTTACAACGTCTCAATTTACACCAACTAGAAACGTAAACTAGCTAAAAAAACTGTAACATTATTAGCTTTTAACGACAAGGTATGTTTGAGTAAATTATCCGTGAAAACGGCAGGTTGAGTAAAAGCTGATGACACGGCCATAACAGCATTTCTGGGTCTTCTTGTTGTACAAGTACCTGCCACCACAGCAACTATGGGTCGATGGGTTGTAGGAGACCAAGCCACATTTGCGGAAAGGCACACACGAGGAATACTTTGAAATGACTCGATTATAACAGCATTTCTGGGTCTTGGTGTAGTACACAAACCTGTTACCACAGCAACTATGGGTCGATGGGTTGTAGGAGAGCAAGCCACATTTGCGGAAAGGCACACACGAGGAATACTTTGAAATGACTCGATTATAACAGCATTTCTGGGTCTTGGTGTAGTACACAAACCTGTTACCACAGCAACTATGGGTCGATGGGTTGTAGGAGAGCAAGCCACATTTGCGGAAAGGCACACACGAGGAATACTTTGAAATGACTCGATTATAACAGCATTTCTGGGTCCTGGTGTAGTACACAAACCTGTTACCACAGCAACTATGGGTCGATGGGTTGTAGGAGAGCAAGCCACATTTGCGGAAAGGCACACACGAGGAATACTTTGAAAAGACTCGATTATAACAGCATTTCTGGGTCCTGGTGTAGTACACAAACCTGTTACCACAGCAACCATGGGTCGATGGGTTGTAGGAGACCAAGCCACATTTGCGGAAAGGCACACACGAGGAAACCTTTGAAATGACTCGATTATAACAGCATTTTTGGGTCCTGGTGTAGTACAAAAACCTGTTACCACAGCAACTATGGGTCGATGGGTTGTAGGAGACCAAGCCACATTTGCGGAGAGGAGCACACGAGGAATACTTTGAAATGACTCGATTATAACAGCATTTCTGGGTCTTGGTGTAGTACACAAACCTGTTACCACAGCAACTTTGGGTCGATGGGTTGTAGGAGAGCAAGCCACATTTGCGGAAAGGCACACACGAGGAATACTTTGAAATGACTCGATTATAACAGCATTTCTGGGTCCTGGTGTAGTACACAAACCTGTTACCACAGCAACTATGGGTCGATGGGTTGTAGGAGACCAAGCCACATTTGCGGAGAGGTACACAGGGAGAATACTTTAAAGTGATTCTACCATAGCAGCACTTTTGGGTCTTCTTATGGTATCTGTACCTGCCAGCACAGCAGCCATAGGTCAATGTATTATACTGCAACAAACCACACCGGACTCTTATAGGGTCTTCCTTTGGCTGTTCTGGTCGAGTAGACTCTTCTTCATTTCCAGGACTTTCGATTTTTTGGTTGTTGAGCTCTATTCAGAGAGAAACAGCGTGGTAAGACTGGTGATGTGGAAGAAATAACATTTTTAAAGCATTCGTTTCTGGACTTAACATTCGCTCAGAGGTAGTGAACTTAACTTTAGCGAGTGTTTACTGTGATTGTCTCGCCTTGAAGGAGTTGACCCGGCAGGAAGAGCCAAAGTATTTTTATTGATAAAAGTTTTCACGGCTAGTTTAGTGACCCTACCATATGATTAAGGAGTAACCCAGATAGCCTGGTCAAGTTTTTATTTCGGATTTTAATTTTTCATCAAGTTTTTGTAAGGAAATGTAGGAAGCGCTGCCTTTCAAAAGGAATTTCTAACAACAAGCAAGGTGTTTGGGAGGTTCGAATCCTGTCGGGGACTCAGATTTTTTCTTTTTTCCAAATTCGTGACATGCTGATTAATTCATTTTCAACTTTATTTCACCGAGCTTTATAAAATTTACCATCTTTCATTCTTTCAAGCACAGGCTTTGAAAATGAAGTGCCGCTCTAGAGCTGCTCGATTCCAAATTTAGTAAAGGTCGAGATGTGAAGATTTCTAGAGAGTGGAAAACTGGTCTTAAATGAAGCATCTAGTGGTAACCATTTTGGCTAACAAATGTTAGATCAGAGGTCCGTACCAAAACTTTTGTATGCCAACTTAAATTCCCAAACGTGACGACAAATTTCCCAAAGAGAAATCTGCAACCGTGGAGCTAGTACAGAAATCATCAATGTCTGATCTGTCAAGCTATAAGGTTTATAGCCAATTGCAGGCTAAAAAAAGGCCTAAAATCAACTACAAATTGTGGAGCGGTGACGGATACAATAGTTACTTTCAAATACTTTCCAGAAGGTAATGGAATGTCGACGACAATGAAGAAAGCCACTCTTCGAAAGAAACCGTAGTCTCTCACGAAACGGATTCTTCTTAAGAAGAGACAGAAGAGATCGAACACTTAGATCATTGGTCCTGCATTCAAGAAGAAGTTCAGAAACACCACGAGGTCCAGTTCAAGGCTTTCATCAATGAGTACGATAGGAACGGATATTCAGAAAACGTGGCTACTTCCTGTCTACAGAAAATAGCTCTGCAGATAAATACGCTTAGAGAGTATCAGATGCAATGCGTGGGTGCTATCTAGAAAGACTCTAACTTCAGTAAAGTAATGGAAACCCAAAAATTTTCTTTTGTGAAACAAGATGGCAAAAGATTCGATTGGTCGAAATCAACAGAACTAACTTTCAATAAGCGAAAATTCTTGCTTAATCGATTAGTTCAATCTCTCCTTGATTACTGCAGCCTAGTCTGGGTAGCTGTGGCAAAACATTATCTACCAACCCACCAAAACTACAAAACCGTGCTGCACGAGTAATAACTTCATCAAACTTTGACGTATATGTCGATTCCTTGTTTCACAAACTCAGCTGGAGGGACTTGAAATCTCAAAGTCAAATTCGGAACAAATCAAATATATTTTTTTTTATATAAGAATACATAAAAGGAAACGTCAGAGCTTATCTCTATCGAGGACTCTCCCTACATGAAACATAAAATAAATATACTACAATGTAAAATTTAAGAATAATTAAGAAATGGCTAAAAAAAAATTACAAAATTTCACAATACTTTCTAAGTTTACTTCGAAAAATGCTGAAAGCCTGTTCGTGCACTATCTCTTCGGGAAGAGCGTCCCACTGTTTAATAATTCTAACAAAGAATGAGTGCAAGAAACAATGAATGGTTTTCAAGTCTTTAAACGGTCTGGTTCACGAATATCTCAAGTCTAAATTCATAAAGCGAAATGAATCAAACTATTCTCTGAGGGACTCGGTAAAAAAACTTGTTCCGTTTCCAAGAACTAACTACTTGAAAAATTGTTTTAGTTACAGCGGCGCGACCCTTTGGAACAGCTTACCCTGTAACATTAGAGAGTCTGATTCATTAAATCAATTTAAACGCCTTCTCTATCATAATTTTTAGAAACACGGTATTTATGGAAATCAGGTTTTTAGTAGCATATTGTTGTAAGTTAAAATAATATTAGGATCAGGATTTTTTAGGTTTTAGGATGTTAGTCATTGTACTTGGAATTTATTGTACCTGATGAATTTTTTTACCTTGTATAAATAATGATTAAAGATTAAAGATTGTTTGTCATCCAAGCTATCCCAGAAGATGAGAAACTGCCACTACAGCATTTCAGTTCAAACTTTGTCGTGTTTCTTTTATGAATATTACCCATTGTTAAAAGGGCTTGAGTTTCGAGTGTTCAATATAACTGCGCTCGAGTAAGTGGTTTCTTAATTTGCCAACCACGACACCTAAACGCCGTCTATTGGTACCAACAACATTCAAATCCATTAGGGTCTGCTTAATGTGCCAGCTATGTCAAAAACGCCTGCCGGTAGAGCCTGAAGAATCAACGTTCTACTCGCCCCAACTCTCGTTGAGTTTCAACGTCCAAAGCGTTCGCTTTTAGGGACTTTTCCGTCACGGTAATGAAATGTATCTAAAAACCCATAGAACTAAACTGTATTTGTAAAACAGTTTACCACATGCCAGTGACAGTTTTCATTTCATGCATTTTCGGGAAGTACCGGCATTACCGTATAGTTAATAAATCAGGGAAAGAATATACTACTCCTTGTTGTTAAAATTTGGATTATTTTTCGTGATGCTTATCCGTCGCTGGGAGCGGAAAGGAGTGCAAAAGTTAATGAACAATACGGTCAAACAGACGAGTTGACTATAAAGCGAGCGCTGTATTGCAGAGGATAAAATAAACGTAGTGGCTATAAGTCCGGCAGCCGGGAAGGGTCTTAAAAAAAATCAATGCCCGGCAGTCAAAAAATTTTCTAGAATTTCTGCAAAATCCCTTTTTCTAATCGTTTGAAAGTATTCTATCTTCTAGTTAGAATTACTAGGCGATCAAGAAGACAAGAATGGCTTCGCGGATGAGCGGTTGTGGTTTCCTTTCAAATCAGTTCTGTTTTTAACTAAAGAAAAGTTCACCACAGATTTTTCTCTCGCCGACCCAACACATCTAACTCTCACAGCTCACTTTCTAGGCGGCTAATAACTGCCAAGAACTTCAACAAAGCGCACGATATGACTACCTTTTCGCCTGGCTGAGATCACTGTGCTGCGAAATGAAATTAGTTACTGTAAGATATTGGACGTGGCATTATAATTACAATTCCAGTGCTCAAAGCATGACTTCCACAAAACTATGCTCAAGGCGGCCAAAAAGGAAATATAAAATATTAAACGGCACCTAGACAACCTTAAAACTTTCACTCGTTTTAATTCACTGTTACTTGTGTTAGGGCGCTTTCCATTTGTCAGAACTGACCGGCCAGACCATTCCAGTCATAATGAGAATTTCACCTTTCATCAAAACCATCCGGGCACATCAGTCAAATCCTAAATAGCATTGCACGAGGGAGATGGTGTTTCAACAAAAACTCTTGGGAAAAAGCATTTTCATTGACAAAATGACTGGTCCGGCCGGTCAGTTCTGACTTTTCGAAAGCGCCCTTAGGTAAAGACCTTTGGGTCTAAACGAAAAATTCACAAGAGGTGGTGGGTGGGAAGGAGGGAAAACAACATATTCTCGATTTTTGGCGTACTGTCGCTTCTACACAAACCCGTAATAACGAAACGGAAAAAAAGCAGTTTTGCAAACAAGCCAAACCACTGTGCCAGACTAGAGGGACACGAAAAAGTAAAAAAGTGTCTGCTAAAAGAGTTTAAAAAATCAATCTGGATTATGATTTATTTTTTAAGGAAAACTATCTGTTTGGGTTTGTAAGCTACAATGTTTCAGTAATGTTCCCATTTTCTAGAGCGCGGGAAGCGTTTTTATATTTTCTTGTGCATGCCAGTTAAAGCAAAAGTAATAAGAGATAAAAGCTATCCTACCTTCGCTTTTCACTACTGCTGCAGTCTCGCTGACATCTTCCTCGATGCTTTCGGGACTGAAAAAGTTTCCATCGGAACTTCCTTCAATGAGCTCAGCCCCCGCCTCATCGACATTACTCTTCACGGTATCATAAGAAAGTTTCTCTTCGGAGAACACTGCAGGTGCAACAGTCAAGACTGCAAAAAACAGAACGATTGGTCGAAAAACGTCGCCCATGCTTGCTTCAGATGTGCAGCGAGCAGTAGGGTTACGACACCTTTTTTATTATGTTGCATGGGTGAAAATATGCGGAAAAAGAAGAAAGTTCACCATCTAAAGGCAGTACCGACTAAGTGCGTCATGAATAACCCTTTTGAGTGCTCAAGAGCTAGCAAAGGATGAATCAGCAATATACGAAATGCGGTATAACTGTTTTATTGACGATTATTGAATGTAACCACTAACCACAAAAATCCGGTGGTAATTAAAAAGTCGGACATAGCAAAAATGAGCTGCTGTGAACAAATACATATAAAAAATTAGTTAACTTATTTAAGTGGCTGTCGTTTATGGAAGTGCTTGTGCGTATTCTAAGCTCACAGAATCGAAGTATATGCATCCGGCCAAAATAATTGCGCTCCTCTTAGTGGTTTCATGACCAAATTCTTTACTATTGGGACAGTAATTCAACTTAGTGTGTAACTCTTCAGAGTTTCCCTTTCATTCGAATACTAAAAACGCGTCCTTTACTACAATATTAACTTGTTTCAGTAAGTTTAATATGCAAGTGATACCCCCAATAAAGTGACTAACCGCCTTACGCAATAAATTGGAACTTTCTTTGACTCCAGATAATCACGCTTATGACTCATTCGTGTAATCAATTAGCATATTGAGAACAAGAATGTTAGTAACAGGTCAGAATAGTATTTGCTGAAAACTAATATCCACGAAAGGGGAATAAGGAGGACAAGCCAAATAGCCAAGTTTTGATAAACTACAGACTGATTAACATCTTCTCACTACAGTTACTATTACAGTTATTATTGCCAGAAAGTCGGAATTATTGGAGAATATTACTGCAATGAAAGTAATTACTTATTTAGTAATTACTTACTTTAGTAATTAGTAATTTATTTCCTAAAGCTTTCGCCGACTATCATGTCTCACGAGTTTAGGGTCTCGGCTTATAGCCAAGGTCGGCTTGTAGGTAAATAAATACGGTACGCGGCGTAAAATATTGCTACTCAATTCTAACTTTCTGACAAAATGAGAAAAAGAAAGAAACAGATTATTTTCCGGGTTCAACTACTAAAAAGAAGAAGAGCTTGCGCAAAAAACACGTGTTATTTGGTGTTATGAAGATGTCGGAGCGAAGATAAATTCAAGCCAACGGAATTTTGTGGTACCAATAAGGAAGTAATTGTTCTGCGCTACTGGTTAACGATATTGCACACTTGATCATGCGATAGTTGTACTGAACACATACAAAGTCCACAGAAAAACGCATAACTTCACATACATATCTAGCAAATAGTTAGACAAATAGACCTAAATATTAAACTTCGTGAATTAATCTGTCTCTTTTGTAAGAAGGACCAAGCAGTGGGTTGAGAGGCAGGGTAGTATTCTTTAAAGAGCTCTACAAGGGCTTTTCAAAGTTTCATATCAACTGTTCTTTGCATTAATTACCACAAAAACGCTCATTTAAGAAGGCGTAGTCTGTCTTTAGATTTATTTCAAATAATTCTTCTTCGATAAGATAAAATCTCTTTGAAACATCAATTGAGGCCCGATCAGGTCACACGGTCTCAGTGTGCCACGCATACAGTTGGAATGGGAACATCAATTTAATTATATTCCGGATAAAGAATCTTTCCCCCAACATTTATAGTTGCTAAGAAACAAGCAAAGTCATGGAAACCTGACATATTTGAAGCTTGTTGATTGTATATTGGCAAGAGAACATTAGGCAAAAGGCGTTTATGTTTTCATGGTGTTGTCCAATCCAAATGGAGGTAAGGACTCAGGAGCAGACTACAAACCACACTGAAGTAATTACAGTTCCTGCACACTGTTTAGTTTTCTCACGATTCATCGGCTATTTTCTTACAAAACATTAACATCCAACTCTATTAGTGGTTACAGTTTTTCACAGTCTCCACAGTAACAAGCTTTAGTTTAATAAGAATTTCAATGTGCACATCTAAGCGTAGAGGTTCTTAATCACTAGGTTCGTTTAAGTGACTGAAGGTAAATCGAAAACACAACCATTGTAAGGTGGACAAAGGTCTTCTGCGTTGTAGCAAGAACACAAACCACATGAAGGAAGAAAGGATGAGGGACGAGGGTATAAACCATTGACATTGAGAGTCCACGGAGTTTACTGCAATAAAGCTGAGTCAACTGCGTCGATCAGTTTACTTCGGACTTTTAATGTTTCAGTCTTATTTGCTGCATTCATCGACATAAAACATTATGATCTCATGTTTGAGGCGCCTGGCATGGCGTTAAATCCTATAAGGGACAGAATATTGCACTTGTATCTCAAAGCGCTATAGCAGCTTATTATGACATACTAATTACCGGTACTTTTTGGTATTGATTGACGGCAAAAACGGATGATTGACAAGGGTCTTTAAGAAAGAAAACGAAAAAAAAGTTACTGTGTTATAAGTGAACAGACCGTTTTTAGAACAGTGAATGAATACTCTGTGTACCAGGCCTGTAAATTAGATTAAATGTTGTACAATACTGGCCCTTACAGATTCCATCTTTGTAGTCAACACTGTTTTTTATTATTATATCTAGTAATTTTCCGCGTTCCTTTCTGCATATATAATGCTCCCGACCCTATTCCATTACATTTTCTTAATAATGAAAACATGCTTTCATTGAAATATCGTCTTTTTACCACTCATTTTCATTAAAATTATATTCCACATTATTCGTCTAAAATGCACAAGCAAAAATAACACGCGTGCTAACGCATTACGGTTGGGGAAGGCGTGATCTTTTGTTTTGTCTTGTCTTATTTTTTCTTTGTTACCTCCAAATTACTGTTAGTGTGATTTAAGAAAGAAAAAGGAAGAAAAATAATGAAAAACTGTCGCCGTAAGTCAGCAAGTAGTAATATCATCTATTTTTAAATTCAAAACCACCAACTTTCAATTTCCTGATCACAGTCTCGGTAGTAGTTCATTTATTCCGTAATGGTTCATTACCCTTTCAGTTTCGAGTCCCTGATATTGTGGACATTTCGTGGTTCGCAAGATCACTTATCTCATATTTATTATCTGCCGCGAATTGAGTCTTCTCAATGTAGAAAGCCGATCAATACAAACAACTAAACGCTTCGCTTACTGCCTTTTTCGAAAAAAAAACTGGAATATAAAGAACTGTCCCATGATGACGCACAACATCTACATCCCTAGCTGAAATACGGTATTCATAGACGGAAATCCGTTTATGTGGCTAGCTACCCTTATGATTCTTTATAATAACCTTTCTATTCATTTTCTTTCTAGAATACCATCACTCAAGGCACCCTAAGGCGGTGTACATTCATTCTATTAGATATTATTCAAAAACTGAAAACGCTGATAATTTGTATGTTTTTCCTTCAAAATGTACTAAAAATATGCCATCGATTAACAAATGACAATATCTTGTATTAGTTAAAGAAGGAAAAATACTGAACCGAATAAAATAGGTGCAACATTAAAATATCACTAATAATATCATATGAAATATCATTATCTCTCAGATCTGTAGCATTTTATTTTTTTCTTTCTCCTTCTCTACGAACTATTTTTTTTTCCTTTCCCTATTTAACTTAATGGGGCCCTATCCATAGGCCATCACGTGGTAAGGTTTCCTCGATTCCTTGTTTTTGACAGTGAAAGTAGCTAGTTTAATGGAAACAGAAATTTAGGTTTGTGTGTAATAATGTTAGTGGTAGGTTAGATAATATTAGTATATAAACAAGTAGAACACTCTTCGGCTAATTCTGTTCTATCTTTCATTATTTTTAATCTAGTTGCGCTATTTAAACAGATGGAATCTCTCATCCTCGGAGACCCAGGGGAAGTTAGTCGGGACGGTAGAATGTTCGTTGTGAAAGTTTACAGTAAACTTTCACCACGAACATTCTATCGTCCCGACTTACTGCCCCTAGGTCTCCGAGGATGACAATCTCTGAAACCAAAATCCACAGTAAAAACAGTCTCCGTGGTGACAAATTATCAAACAAAATGACGCAGAACTTTCTGTAACTTTTTTTTTTTGCGAATTGAGCCTATAGCCACACAAACTATAAGCAGAAACGCTGAAAATGTTCAGTACTTACAATTTACATAGGAAAACTGGAATTTCTGCCCGAAAAATCAAATGGTTCTCACCATTACCTTTTAGAATCTTCAGAAAACGTGGACTTTGTTCTTAGGCGATCCAACTTTTTACTCCCTTCAGACTTCTCATCTGATTTCGACATACTTTGTAGCGAGTTGTTGTCGCACCACGATTAGTTTTATAGATTTATGTTTTATTGAAGAGAAAAAATGAAACAGCTTCTAACCCCTAGTAAAACCCGTTGGCAGTTAAAAAGTCTGACCCCTCAGAAATGAGTTGCTGTAAACAAATACATACACAATTTAATTAAACAAATTATTAGAGTGAAGGTTCTTTATGAAAGCACCTGTCAGTGCGTAATCTAAGCGCTCTGACAGGATCGAAGTATATGCATCCGGCCAAAATAATTGCGCTCTTCTTAGTAGTTTCATGACCAAATTCTTTACTATTGGAACGGTAATTCAACTTAGTGTGTAACTCTTCAGAGTTTCCTTTTCATTCGAATACTAAAAACGCGTCCTTTACTACAATATTAATTTGTTTCAGTAAGTTTAATATGCAAGTGATACCCCCAATAAAGTGACTAACCGCCTTATACAATAAATTGGAACTTTCTTTGACTCCAGATAATCACGCTTATGACTCATTCGTGTAATCAATTAGCATATTGAGAACAAGAATGTTAGTAACAGGTCAGAATAGTATTTGCTGAAAACTAATATCCACGAGTTTGATAAGGATATTACGCCTTGACTTCATTAAGGGGAATAAGAAGGACAAGCCAAATAGCCAAGTTTTGATAATCTACAGACTGATTAACATCTTCTCACTACAGTTACTATTACAGTTATTATTGACAGTCGGAATTATTGGAGAATATTACTGCA